GCTTACTAAAAGCAATTTTCTCATAAGCATATTTTGGCAGATGGTGTCCATCTTCTCAAGGTATTGATCAGACATGTCATCGGACCATCCCCAGGTGCTGACCACAAGACACCTTATCTTCTCTAAATAGTCTTGACAGGGGTTTCATTGTCCAAAAGTTATGATCTGATGCAAGTAAGACGGAAGGAAGGAAGGAAGGAAGGAAGGAAGGAAGGAAGGAAGGAAGGAAGGAAGGAAGGAAGGAAGGAAGGAAGGAAGGAAGGAAGGAAGGAAACATATCAATTATAACTATATAACTAAAGAAGGATCAATTTAAGAAACACCCTGGTCCTTGGACAATACTATCTCATAAATGCTTGTGAAGAATCTTGTTTTAAATATTCTTTGATTTAATAATATTGCATTAATTGTATTTCCTGCATAAAGGGAATCCATAATAGGTGCCACCACAAAAATCCCTTATCATGATTCATGACACTCTGGGCCCATACCTTCAGATGATAGAACAACTGGGTTTCTGAAGACTCAGATGTGCTACTCCTGATCGATTATATGCTTTTAAGTCATTGCTGACTCCTACTAACCACATAAATAAATTTATTATTAATAATTTCATATTTTATATTCATGTATTTTCCTGGTAAAAAGAGTGGTATATCATTGCCTTCCAGATGCCAGTTTGTTTTAGCTTGATAAATTCATCCTACCCAGGAATATCCCCACCACAATGAGGCAACGAAGTAGGACTTGGGAGAGGGGGGAGAAGGGTGAAAGAGTGTTCTGTTAATAATGTAAGACATGTTGTGAACCTTAGTAGGAGTACAGAAGTGCTACAAGAATCCAATGTATCCTATCCTAGATTACATTGGAAGATGTGAGGTAGACTGCCTTTTGCCATTGAGTACCCTCTACATTCCACATATCTGGGGTCAGGTAGAAAAAAACAAACCTAGGTTTAGGTTCCTTTCAACAGAAGATAAAATCAGGGAAAAGAACGGTCAGGACTGAGGTATTTAGCCAGCAGACTAAGGATTACCACTATATTAATAAAGAAGAGCAATTATGTTAGTTAGCTTCAAACAGAGAAAGAGGGGAGCAGATAGATAGCAGTCATCATTCCAGTTCTTAGATCACTGGAAGTGGACAGTGCTATCCTGCAATAAAATTCTGCTTCAATTATGGCCTTTAAAATCTCCATGTTTATCTGTAGGAAAATAAGTGTTCTCCCACCATCACTATTGTTACCTGTAAATTACTAGAAAGAATGCCTTCTACTTGCTAGTAAAAAGAGAAGAAACGGGAGAAGAAAGGATGCAACTGGGTGCAGACTTCAATATTGCAAATCCAGAATTCTTGAAGATTAACTTGCTTGGAAGGGAGATACCTTCTGCCTGGTGCATTAAGCCCTCTGAACACCTGAAGGGCTCCTCTCTCTTTTATTTCCTTCTCTGTCCAGGCGTCTCTTTTCTTTGCCTCATCTTCTTCCAGTTTTGTTCCCTTCCATTTGTTGCTCTCCTTTACTTCTTAATGCAACTACCTTACTGTTTAATATGCATCCATTCTTTCTCCTTTTTTTTTCATTTCCCGTTAACCCATTGACCTTCCTCTTTCTCCAAAATACATCCTGTGATGTGGCCCAATGCAATAGTTAATCCCAATAGTTGGATCAAGCCAGAAATAATCCTTGTAGCATGTAGCTCACTTCTCTGGTGGAGCTGGGATCCTTATGTTATAAAAGGAAGCTGTCTAATTCATTGGCAAAAGACCCGACTCTGATAAAAAAAATTGGGCTATCCTTAGACCTCTTCCCTGACTCTCTGGTTAAGAAAATGTGTGTAAACATTAAGGAATAACATGATTTTAAAGTGATCCAGATTGACTTTCCCAAGCCACAAGATTGACCAAAGATTTCTTATTGCTGTCAGTGCTGTCAGAAGGATATCTGCAGAAGCATTAGCATCGGAGCAATCCAGCCATCACCCTTTTCTCCTCCTCCTCTTCCTCCTCCTCCTCATCAAGGGTCTTGTTAGTTTCTGCCATTCCCTCTTGCTTTTCTCCCCATCCACCCTCACCCCTTTTTCTCACTTGAGCACATCTGAGTAGCAATATTTTTGCCTTTGCCCTTTAGAGTGGTGCCTCCTCCAATACCTCCTTTGTCTGTTGGGAAATCCTCTTTTTTTTAGATAAATTTGCACAGGAAAACAAGTTACTGTATTGCCAGAAAATTATTTTCCCCTACTTACTCTCCTCCTTGATTCAGAAATCCCTCTCTCTTTTTCCCCAAAGGAAGGTACTATCTTCTTTTTATTCTATACTAAGTTGAACCCATGCAGTAGCACATACCCGTGTGGGTGTAACTGTTACCTCTCCGAAACCATCACGTTCTTTCCTTGGCAAAAAGCTTTGTTCTTTTCAGCTTGCACTGCAAAATCCCTTGCCCTCTTCCATCACTGAGAAGCCTGGAATTTTTAATTTTTCTGCTTTCTCTGTCTCTAGCTGAACTCTATGTACTTTTTTTTAGATAAATCACTTCCTGAAATTTCCTATTTCCCCACTCTTCTTTGAACTTGCTTTCTCCCTTGGACATTGAATTGAATTTACTGAATTCCATAGTGGAATTGGAACATGACTATAAAAGTCTCTTGATTCCCCTACTAGGACCCTCCTTCCTTGAAACTAACTCTCCACTTGTCAATTCCAATTGCATTATGTCTAATGTATTGGCTGCTGTGTTGGGTTATAAGCCCATTATTATTTTATTATAATTAAGTTGGGCTAATAGAAGTTCTCACTGTTACCTGTTTGCTTGTTAGAAACCACTACATGCAAAATAATGACTCTGTGTGATCTACAAGTTCCTCTCTGTAACTCATTTTTTTTTAAAATAATTTTTAAAAAATTAATGTGAAATTAGTTATGTTAGTATAATGATGATAAAAAAATTAAATAATATTTGCAAGGAGAAAAGCCACTTTCAAAAGGATCCTTTCCTTATCCTCTATATAGTAAAGACCTATATAGTAAAGATTTTACTGCACAGTTTAAAAATGGCACATGCTTTTAATTGTTTTAATATTTAACAAAGTATTTCTAGTTGAGGTTTCTGGGTAGAATCAGGATATCCATTCATTACAGGTTGGTAAGCAAATTTTGATCAGCACTGTTATAAAAGGGCTATTATGCAAAACATTACAACTGTGTGAAAAGGCAATGAATACATTACCCTGAAACCAAATATTGTCAAGTTCCAATCTGAGAGACTCCTTTGGCTTGTAAAATCTAGTTGTTCCACCTTGAGACCTCAAGATCACCATATCCTGATTTGATTGATAGATTGATCGACATATATTTAATGAATGCTCAAGTCCAAACAACTCTGAGCAGTTTACATTATACAAAGCCAAAATAGTAAAGAAAGACAAATATATCAGATCCAGGAAAACTCTTTGGGATAGAAATATGGAGAGAGAGGTTGGACTGAGAAGCCATGCCTCTAAGATACTGTACTATGCACTTGAGGGAACCTCAAGTGCATCATTTGCTGGATCTTATTGGATGGGCAGAAACTATCAGACATAGGTGGTTCTCAGTTAGGTCCAGTGCCATGATGTAGTTGTCTCTTTTGCTATAATGAGAAGAGGCTTCCATACAAACCCAGAAGAATCTGAAGAAAAGTGGGTACAACAGAACAGCAAGGAAACATATGCAACTCACAAAGCTCCAGGCATATGTGCATGTTTAAACACAGGTTTTTCTGGTTTTTAGACATGTTAAAAGAAAAATACTGGATTGGTATGGGAGAAATATTAAAGTTCCAAAATAAGATGAAAGTCCACATCTCATAAAAGCCATATGTAAACATCCAATCTATTTTCCAATATAATTTTCCAATCTATGTTACAAAGAATAAGCAGGCTGTTTTTTTGATAAAAGTATTTCCATTATGGTTCATCTTAACAAAATTGTATTCCCTTATAAACTTTGTTAGTGAATGAGATGAATTAATTTGATAGAGACTAATGGGAACATCGAGTTTCCATTTCTATGATTTGACTGCATATCATAATTGTATTATGTATGTTTACTAATTTATGATCCCTAATTTTTTTGTATATATTAACAGCTCCAATTTTGGGTCAATATATGCACATTCTGGAAGAGGTACCTAGGATTGTACCATTCTGTGAATTTTGTTCAGGTCAACCTGGTTGTCCATCAGGTTTAATAAAGTCTTTAATTACTGGACACTTCGTTATTTCACCTGGAGAATGGACACAGAATTTTTACACTAAGCTGTTTAGAGCACCCCAAAAGTACAATACAAATTGTTTAAATAAATAAAATTCACATAGCCTTATTCATCATATATAGTGTTCCCTCAGATTAAAAGCTATTCATTGAAAACAGAAAATCCATAATTAAAATGCTTCTGCTGATCACACGATACATTATCATCATATAAATCATTACAGTACTGTGTGAACCCATTCAGAAGAAATTTCCAAACCATTGCAATAGAAGGCTAGATGTCACTTTTTTTTTGTATTATTCATGGCCATATAAATAGCTGAAAATATACTGCATACCCAATCAATATAATTAATAAAAGGAAATGCTGATTTGCTATTCTGACAAGTACAATAAAACTAGTGGTATGGTGAAATCACATTACTCCTTAACAAAAATTTCAGTAATCACTAAAACATCCACATAAAACATACACAAAGGGTCAAAAATGGGGGGAAAATTAGTTCTCTTCTTCTGCCCCAAATGACTACTTTGCTATATACAAAGTTCTGTTGAAACAGAATTTATCATCAGTGAACATAGGTGAAGGACATCTTGGTGGCTATATTTCAATTGAAACTGTGGGATTTTGTAAATAATATCAAATAGTCCTTTTACTGTCCATTTCACACTGCTGTAGTTATTTGAGTTAATCCAAGATCATTGGATTCTTCTCTTCCAGGAGGACAATATGATGACATTTCCACAGCTAGTCATGCTGGCTTGTTTGCACCATCAGCGTTTCCAGCATGAGCAGGATTATGAATTGTGTTTCTAACTCTGCTGATATTTTGTCTGTCCACCTTCATTTTAAAAGGAAAGCAGAAATCTTTGAAACAACGCTTGAAGTTTTCATCCAAAAAAGCATATAGAATGGGATTTAGACTGCTGTTGGTGTAGCCCAATGCAATGCAGAAATAGTAGCTGGAAATGGCTGCAGTGCTGTGTGAGACATCTCCAAGAGCCTCAACTAACACAAAAATGTGGATGGGGGTCCAACAGATAATGAAAACGGCAACTACAACAAGAACCAATCTGGTGATACGGCGGAGGTTTCGATCTTTTTCTCGTGATCCAGACAGGAGCCGCACACTTTTCAAGCGCAGGATCATTAGAGTGTAACAAACTATAATAATTAGGACTGGGATAATAAAGGCAAAGACAAAGACACAGATTTTCATAAAGATGTCCCACCAGATATAGTCATCATCTGGAAACTGAAGAGAACACTCAGTGCTGCCTGTATCTGTATATAAAGGGACCCATAAGAAGAAAACAAATGAATATGTTAAATTAACAATTTCAGGAAAAGCAAATAGGATAGAATGTACAATGATTCAAAGTTATATCACTTTCAGAGGCTAAAATCAAGCTCTGTAGGCAAGATTCATAAATCTTGTTTTTCTCTTTCATTGCATTTGTATTGACAAATCAGAGGTGAAATATTAACAGGCATATTTTAATATACCCTGGGTATGGGTTCCACTGATTAAACTGAGATTTACGTGGAAATCCTTTATTATGGCCTACAAATGGAAATTAATTCTAATAAAATCTGCAAGGTGTTTATGAGTTTCTCCCAGTTAAATGCAAAGGATATAATTGCAGGTAGTCTTTGACCTACAGCCATAACTGGCACCAGAATTTCCATTGCCAGGCAAGGCAGTTGTTAAGTGACTTCTGCCCAATTGTATGAACATTTTTGCCATGGTTGTTAAGCAAATCACTGTGGTTGCTAAGTGAATCTGGCTTACCCCATTGGCTTTGCTTGTCAGAAGCCTTTTACTGGCTGCCAAGTACCGAAATTTTGATCACATGACCATGGGGGTGTTGCAACATTTGTAAATGCAAGGAATAGTCACAAGTCACCTTTTTCAGTGCTGTTGTAACTTCAGATTGTTGCTAAACAAATGTCTGTAAATCGAGGATTACTTGTATGCATAGGGGCTCTTTCACTCAAATGAAAAACGTAAGGAACCAGGGTGTAAATATAAATTAGGATATTGTACAGCCTACTGTATTATTGAAACCAGGCTTAGAGAATTGTTGCTAATTACATCTGTGCTTTCTAATTACAAACCTACAATCTCCACAACAGACTTACTACTTGATAAAAAAACAGTCTTGATACTTCTGCAAATGTTCAGGGATGAGCTTTGCAATTGTATTTCAAAAATGTATTCTTGTCAATTTCAGGCAATGTTACTGCCAATAATGAACTGAAGTGGTTAGAAGGGTAAGCCATACCTTTTAAAGAGAGTTATGTAAGAGGCAAGTTCAGCTGAGAAACTGAGAAGTGTCTGCAGGAGAACAAAATATTCTATTTGCTATTATAATGCATCAGCTCGCTCAACTGAATAAAAAGAAAAATGGGTTTTACTCATTTGTTTTAAAAAAGTGCCTTTTACCAAGAAAATTATAGGTTTGGTGCACAGAAACTAGTAACTAGGTCTAGACAGTTATGCAGCTTGAAGCATGTTGGTCTCAAAATCATGGATATGATTATAATATTTAAAAAAACATCCTAGAAAAGAAAAAAAATATTGGACACATAGGACATCAGCAGATCAACTGTGGTTTAGTTTAATTTAATTTTTTTAGTTTAATTTAGGTTTTCAATTGGTGTCAAGTGCAAAGAACCAGAACAACTCCATGAAAAAAGCCAAAGTAGTGTCTTTATTGTTGATCACCTGTTTTACAAGAATCTTGCCAGACTAAATGTATTCTCTTGGGAATCAGTAGATAACAGCTTCACTGATTTGGCATATGTTATTTGATCCCATGGAGCAACTCCATGGTGAAATGCCTCTTTACTCCCCTCTCTCCTTTAGCCAGTGATTTAACTAAATTGGCTATGCCAGTGCTTGGAATGCAGTTTCTAAAGTAGTATAGTTTGATCCAGTGGATATAAACTGCCTTCTGTACATAATTTCACCACTGTATGTATATTTCTTCAACACTTTTAGATATCTGGGGAAATGCTTTGGAAACTCTTATAGAGCAATCTGCAAGTACTGTTTGCCACAGAAAATATTTCTCACATGTACACAGTTCCCAAATTCCTCCCATATATTCAGATCAAAATTTATTTTTATATACCTATACCTAATGTAAGTATTATGATGTGCCTTACTGTAAGAACAGCCAGTTTGTGGCTCACAAGTGAAAATACAAATTGATTACATTATTATTATTTTATCATTATAAAAACATTTAGGAAACTTGTACAAAATGACATATATAAAATAACACTAATTTAAAAGTAATTATATTGAAGTTTAACTTAATATCTATTGATATTATTCCACTATTGGGTAACATACATATCCACTTTGAGATTGATGAAACATGAACTATAGAAATTAATATAATGTGATCCAATGTGTTTTTATCTTTGATGTATGCTATAAGTCACATATTCTTCATTTCAGGAACTATGGAAAATATATTTACAGATATTGTTGCATGGAAAGGAGTATAGGGGTGTGAAAAACATCTGAAATTCAAAATATTTTGTTCTTGAAGTAGCCCTATTTATTTAGAGGTCCCATTCTGAATTTAAAACCAACTTGTTTCAAATATGATACATCTCCCCCCCCCCCAAAAAAAAGTCAGAATTGCTTTGAAACAATCTTTTTTGTTGGATATGGATCACTGTGAATTTAAAACTTTTTGCCTCCTTAATTAAATATTATATCATGTACTAATTTTGAGAATGGCAAATGCTAGATAAATATTTATTTATGCAAAGCTTTGACTTGGAGACTATGTGAAAGTCTCCTTAATAATTCAATAATTCAATTCAGTACTTTCAACTGAAATTATTTGAATGAATTACTTAATTTTTAATTAATTTATTTTTTAAGCTTCAAAAATCTGGATGATCATTACTCAGATCACTCTGAGTGGATGGCGGGTGGGGGATTTCTGGGAAAAAATATTGTGAAATTCTTTCCCTGCCATCTCATGTTTGTCCACATTTTTGCAGTCCAGATCTGGTAGCACTAGACTAAGACATGGATTGTTTATCTACAGTTCATTGAGTAAATTACAACATTGCTAAGACAAAACAGAAGAAATCATGTTACAGAATAACAGAGTTGGAAGGGACCTTTGAGGCCTTCTAGTCCAACCCCCCCCCCCCCGCTCAGGCAGGCAATCCTATACCATTTCAGACAAATGGCTGTCCAGTCTCTTCTTAAAAACTTCCAGTGTTGGAGCATTCACAGCTTCTGAAGGCAGGTTGTTCCACTGATTAATTGTTCTAACGGTCAGGAGGTTTCTCCTTAGTTCTAGGTTGCTTCTCTCCTTGATTAGCTTCCATCCATTGTTTCTTTTCCTGCCCTCAGGTGCTTTGGGGAATAGCTTGATTCCCTCTTCTTTGTGGCAACCCCTGAGATATTGGAATACTGCTATCATGTCACCTCTCATCCTTCTTTTAAATAAATGAGATATGCCCAATTCCAGCAACCATTCTTTATATGTTTTAGCCTCTAGTCCCCTGATTATCTTTGTTGCTCTTCTCTACACTCTTTCTAGAGTCTCAACATCTTTTTTACTTTTTTGTGCTACTCATTCATAATCCAGCCTATAATTTTTAAACAGCATTACTAACCAGAATTGTACTGCATAGTGTCAAAATCTGAGCCCTTGTTCTTTTCATATGTTTGTAATTAGATATTTAAATCATTTGGTTTGGAGATGCCCAGTGTTGGTTGAAAGATGGGTGGCTCTATAAATATTTTAAATAAATAAATAAAATAAATTCTCTGGAGCTATGACCTCTAGGGCAGGGATCCCCAACCCCTAGGCTGCAGCCCAATACTGGGCTGTGGCTTGTTTGGAACCGGGCTACGCGAGTTCCCCTCCCTCCTCTATCAGGACACCAAGCCATAAAGGTTGGGGATCACTGCCCTAGCTTTCCTTTTTTAATGTTAGTGGGAGGTAGAGATAACATTGGTAAAGGGATGCAACATCTTTTAACAGACAAAAGAGAAATTTCAGCCATGGGAAAGTAGTAAGCATGGAAGGAGACTTAAAATAATCCTGCCTTGATTCTGAATCGGATAAGAGAGGAAGAGAAGGAAATTGTGGCAGGCTTTCAATATTTTGTTATTATATACCACAACAATAAAGAGTCTTCAAGTGGAATTGATTTCCTGACTTACAGGGCTGACCTCAAAGAAGGGATTCTCAGAAATAGTATTACTTCTGCTAATTCTGAGTAAATTAGAAAAGCACACAGAATTGACTTAACAATAAAATATAATGTTTTCCAGGCTACATATAAAATTGGTGTTTGTACTCACCTTCCCTGACCTTGGTACCTCCAAGAACTATGGCTGAAATGCCTACGGAAGAAGATAAAACCCAGATGCATATATTGATGATCTTGGCCTTCAGAGGAGTACGAAAGTCCAGGGCCTTCACTGGGTGACACACAGCAATGTAGCGATCTACACTCATCATGGTCAGGGTGAATATGCTTGTAAACATGTTATAGTAGTCAATTGAAATGACTATTTTACACAGCACATCCCCAAAGGGCCAAGTGTTCATTAAATACTCAGTACTTTGAAAAGGCATAGTTGTGGTGACAAGAGCATCTGCCAGAGCCAAATTAAAGATATAAATGTTCGTTGCGGTCTTCATCTTTGTGTACCTAAAACAAAAGAAGTATTTTTAAATATTTCTCCATAAATCTAATGCAGAGACTATTACAAAATATCACTATTTTGCATAGAATATACAGACAGACAGACAGACACACACACACACAGACACACACACACACACACACACACACACACACACACACACCAAACTGCTTACCTCAAAGTTATACTTTTAGTTTATTTCTTTGAGGTTCTGATGGGGGAATATTTTGGCAGGAATAAAAATATATGAGGGTCTCTGGGACCAAAGCACATGCCTGCATTTATATACTGCCTGCTCTTTCATGTGGTGGTGCAGCTGCTTTTGCTCACCATGATGATGTAATAGAGTCAGTGCTGAAACCTAACATAAGACTAAGTTACCTCCAGACTTAGTCTTATTGGGGTAGATATAAACTGACACAAATCACTGTTTTGATGAATGGATTCTATAGGACACGGGTGTCAAACTGGCAGCCCGTAGGCCAGATGCGTCACATGCAGGCCACGCCCACCCTGACTCCACAAAGGCAAAAAAGTCACGATACATCATGATACATCATATGTTGCAATCGACTTTGACACCTGTGCTATAGGATAAGATTCTGCTCCAGCACATGCTGTTTATTACACTGAACTTTAATAAATGATTGTTAAAAATATTTGTTTTAAATAAGGAAAATAATTTTTGCTTCCTTTTCTTTGAAGAAAGAAAGATAAAATATTTCTGTCCTTCAAACAAAGGATGCTATAAATATATTGTTTGAATCTATTTCATATTTGTATACATTCCTCTGTCGTGCAAAATATCTTGATTGATCTGAACTCCATGAAGTTTAATACTTTTGAGAAAAGTAGATTGTTAAAAGGATAATCATTTAGCTTTGGATTCTGATTTTTTTGGGTCATGAAGTTTGAGAGAATTACTAGAGGGAAAACAAGGCAACAAGGTGGTTACATCAATCTTCAGAATCAACAACTGAATATTTTACTCCATGATTTAATTGATTTAATGCTGCAATGCTACGTTAACAATTAAGTTTTACTTGCCATAAGCAGAATTGTATTAATACGTGATTTTAATTAAATTATGCAAATTAGGCTATCATAAAGCAACAAAATTTATTTGTAGCTAATGAAAATATAATGTTCTCTATTGAGAACAAGTAAAATATAGCATTTGTTTTCTTTAAACAAAGCAAAATGCAGTTATCATATTCTCATCAATATTTAACTCCATAGGTATTAATTATGGCAGTTTTATCAACTGCTAAGTGGACCTAATAACAGAGTAATGCCGCTCATATCTGATTATATTATTTCCATAACATTTAGAAATGCAAAGGTGGTAAGCTATCCGGGGGGGGGGGGGGGGGGGGGGGGGGGGGGGGAGAGAGAGAGAGAGAGAGAGAGAGAGAGAGAGAGAGAGAGAGAGAGAGAGAGAGAGAGAGAGAGAGATCATGGGAGACTGTTTTTTAATATTTAGAATATTCAATCAGTAGCATAGTACTATGAATGTACATAGTACTTCTTACAATAATTCCTTTGAATCGTTGAATAACATCTATAAAGTACTGTGCTATTTCAATCTAATGGTTTACTTGTTCATATTATCTTGCTCTTCTTTTTAAAATAATATTTCTATTTTCATTGGTTAAAAACACAGAAATAACAGGGCTGAATAACTGCTTCAAATGGATGGTTTGGCATATGCAGTTGATGGAATGATACTACATTAAAGACGCCAAACAGAGCTGTCTGTCTTTATGAAATAGACTTCAAATCCTACTTTTCGTGCCTACTATAGAAATTTGCTTCCATTATACTAAAATTAAAACAGCACTGGATCTGAATCTCATGGTCTTCAAGAAAGACCAGAGAATCCAGGTATCACCTAATTCTGATTTTGAAGGATTTAGAGATATGTCAATGTTTTATGGACAATCATGCAAGGCTTGCCACACTTTTCCTAAATCTAGGACAAAACAGATTTCAATGACACTGGCTTTGAACATTGGTTTACATGTGTTCAGTTCATCTGTCTAATTAAAAGTTATTGCATAATTACAGAAGTACCCAAATTGACTTGAGCTTGTAGATCTTGGGTAGACAAATTTCAAAATGATGTATCTCATTTTCTCAATGATGTTTCCAATATTATTATGTTCTCTCTCTCCCTCTCCCTCTCCCTCTCCCTCTCCCTCTCCCCTCCCTCCCTCCCTCCCTCTCTCTCTCTCTCTCTCTCTTTCAAAAAAAATAAATTGTTCAATCATGTTCTATCTTAGATAAGGGACAAAAAGCATAAAAATGCAACTATAAATTCAAGATCTAACTCCAAAATGGATATCTAAATCCAAAAGGGATTACTCATGTCCAAAGGCACACAAAGAAGACTTATCACTCCATCACTCTAGGAGACAAATGCCAAATAAGTTTCAGAGGGATGAGACAAGACACTGAAAGTTGGGGGTCAAAGTATAAAGAATCAGAACACTAGGAAGGTCAGCCAGGGATCAAAGCACAAAGATAACTAAATACAATTAATTGCTGTAGCTTCTCAACAGAGCACTTTATCCTTAGGCTAGAACTAAAGTATTTCAGCTGATAAGGATGTATACCCTTTTATGATTTAATAAAAAGAACAAAGAGAGACCATCACGTACAAACAAGTGTATAGTAGAATGTTATGAATTCTGTTTATGCTGACTAGTTACCAACATTACTTAATAAACACTTATACATGCATTCAAGATGCGATAAGAAAGTGCCCCTCTTACTTTTAGTGCATTCTCATTTGCATTAAGTTATTTAAGGCAAAGTGGTGGTTCTTATCTGCTGCATTTTCTAATATAGTATTGAGCTATAAACTGAATGTATGATTATGGAGATAAAATCATTTCCCACCTTCTCTCAAATGTCAGCAGAAACCTCATCAGTTTTACCTTTTCTCACAGCTGGGTTTGGCCATAAAACTAAAAGCTTTGTTAGGTAGAACTTAGAAAATTATGCATATTACTGGAAGTGTATGAGATAAATTGAGGGGGGGGGAAATACCCTACTTCAAGCCTGATGATACCCAGCTTTTTCTTCCAGTTAAAAAGCAGCCTCGTTCAGCTGGGACTGAGAAACAAAGGAAACTCAAAACTACTGAATGAGTCACACTGCCATTGGTAGCCACTATTAAATTGACCAAAGCATTGAGGCAGCAGGTCCATAATGCTGCAGTGCCTTTTCCATTGCAAATTGAAATTTGAGTCATTTTCTTTAAATTTAAATAAGCTGTAAAAGCCATTTCCAATGAAGTCCCTGCTATGAAAAGGATGTTAAAATAGCAATGGCTCCCTTCCCAGGAGTTTGATTACCATAATCAGAAATGCATTAGAAAAACACCCAGAACTATGCATCACCTACCCTCAGCTTTGCTTCCTGTAGAAGATGGATGGGAACATTAAGATCTTCTTGGACATGAACTCCAACTAGCCTAACTAATGGTGAAAAGGGCTAATAATTGTAATTCAACAATATTGGGGGGGGCACAGATTTACCACTCCTGGTATAGATATTAATTCAATAGCAATAACTGAAAATGTATTTAATTTTTTTTCTCAACATCATTGCTGTCTTTATGTTTGTCCTACCATATTTGCTGGGAAATTTTTATTTCATTCCTTCTTAACAGCTGTATAGGGATGAGCCTCACAGTTGCCAAGCATGCACATCACATAGCCCATTTATTTAGATTTGATTCGAAAATTAGTCGTGAAGGTCTTTCACGATATTTTCTACAACACCAGCACCAACAAATCCCATTTTGCAATATTTCTTACTTTTAGCCGTTTTCCTTGGATTCCTTGATAATTCTAGATTCAGTGAACTTTTACAAACAATTGACCAGCAAGCCAGGTTCAGTTCTACAGGACTGAATATGAGGATATATGTAATGTAATTACATTCAATTCCCAGTAGTCTATCTGCAGGCTCCATCCTCATAATTTTGAAATATTAGCTCTTTCAACAGTAATTGCATTCTGTGTATCAAGCGACTCTTGGAGGAGGAGTTATTGGATTTTTTATCTCCAAGGGGTAAAAAGTTGTGAATATTTTTTTTTGAGGAATTTCTCTTTCCTACAAAGAAATGTGGAAAACTTTCTTCCCAATATTTTTGTCCACCAATTTCAAATGCCCAATTGTGTTCTGCTCCATTAACAACCATATAATATATTTAAAGATGGAGAAAAAGGAAAAAGGAAAAGAAAAGAAAAGAAAGGAAAGGAAAGGAAAGGAAAAAGCGGGGAGAAGGAGGAGACCAGCCATATCCAAAGAAGCAGAGTTATAAACATTAAGCCATAAACCAAACTGATAGATGTTTGTAGGAATACTCTAATTACCCAGCTGTCTGGAGCACTGTGCAGACTGACTGTTGATGTGCTAGCTAGCTTGACTGTCTTCACTGTCTCCTGAACTTTTCAGTGATGAGAAGTTTTGCAGTGTGGAAAGCAGATGGCTGGATAAATAACAGTCTGGAAATAATGTAAGCCCAATGCTAAGTATCTCTGGTAACACTAGAAAGAACTCACGATGCACAGTTCTGAGCATTGTTCCCATTTCTCAAGTCTACCCGCTCTTCTATTTCATTGCAGTGTGCATATGCCTATTCGAATTCCATCTTTGTTAGAAAGATTAGTTAAGTTCATGAAGGGCATTGCCACAGACAAGAGCAAGAGCAGTAGCTACTAGACGCTGCTGCTGCCCTTTGTGAGAAAGAGAGCCAGGCACACAGCTTCAGAAGCTAGGAACAACATCACTGGAAACCACCAGATGGCTTGCTTTGACTTCTGTGAAATTTTGTTTTTTCTTGTTATCTGCAGACCTCAAAATGAGGGAGGGAGGGATGCCAAACTTCGCTTAACTGAACGATTTTCAACTTGACCAGTCATAAATTTCTAGCCTTTATTTGAACATAATTGCCCCCTTTTTCCATTGCAGCTATTTAATTTCTCAGAGAAGATAGCAAAAATATGTGTTGAACAATTTTATGTGTTTAACCACACAGCACATTATCCCCATATTATAGGGGAGTGGTGGCTGGGAATTAGCTTACCTTCTCATGGCTGAGAAGACATTTGGACTAGAGATTTCCTTAGGAAGTACTAATAGTGCGGAACTATTATGGCTCAGTAGAATTCCACACAGTGGATACTGTATCTCACATTTGAAGGCATATGAGTATTCCCTAGTTTGCCAGTGAAGCCAGGCAGCATTGCGGTTAATTAGAATGGAACAATTGTAACTTCTTAAAAGCTCTATTGAAGTTCTAATGATAAAAGGCAAAACTCTATAAATGCTGTGTTTGTTGAAAATAGCTTTTCCTGTATCTGGGGTCCTGAAGTTCAAGTCTCATATTCCTGAGTCAATGTAGTCAAATATGAGGTAAGGGATTATGGGACCTGCAGAATTTGGGAATGCTGATTTAAGACATAAAGTGATTGCAAGTCACCATATAATGCATTTCAGGTCAACATAGATTCTCAGTAAAAGGTTGAGTGGTTTGTTGATTAAATTTTGTGTGTAGTACACGTATCTGCTGTCCATTGTTAAGTTATTTCAGAAAATATCTGCCAGTTTGGTAGATGATAATTCTGAGGCTAAATGTTTCAATTCTAAAACTCAGATCCTGAAGCAGAATTCAAAACAAAACAAAATTATAAGCTTTCCTGAAGGAAGCGAGACACCGATTACAGGTGAATGTCAGTTCAAGAAACTAAAGAATTAAGTGCTCAATCAAGTAATCAATTGCAATTTCATGTCAGCACTTTCCTAACTCCAAATCAGGGTGAGAGCTTGAGTCCCATGTTTATATCTCCTCCTCCTTTGATTACAACTTTGCTACATCAGAAGAGACAGGAGAAATACCCTAGTTCTGACACTTCCCTAACAAATAGCAATAGAACTGTTACGTATTGCACTTATTTATAGGTATTTCTCTGGAATGATCTCTGTTGAAAAATAAACAATGTGAGCTCTCTGTTCAATATTATTCTGAAATATTTTTCACCAGCTGCCTTATTTCTAATTTATCATCACTTTTTATTGGATTTCAAGTAGAAAATGAGCTGCAGAATTTGAATATCACATGACAGATGAGATCAAAGGTTTTAATCAAAATAGTAAGTATGCTGTAAATTTATCACAAGTAATAGGTTGTTTGCAAATGCAGGAAGAGAAAGTATTTAAAGCATTAAAAATATAAAAACAAGCTAGACCATAAATTAGACTAGAAAACATCTCGGAAGAAGGAAATGATTAATCCTTTTTGCCAAGAAAGCAACATTGGTATATTTAAGTATCAGAGTTAGCTTCAACTTAAAGGTGACTTTACTTTAAGGCAGAAAATATAGTTTCTTATTTATTGACAATGCTTCTCCCATGTCATTCCACGTGGTTGCTAGCACATTTAGAAAAATGAGTTTTTAGATTATTGTTAGACTTAGGAAATGTCTTGAACACTAATGCTTAAATTAAGTAAAAACTGCAGAAACTGATTTAAAGATTTGAAAGGGGGGGTTAATCTCGGGTTTTATTCAGTTTACTGGCTGCAAGTTCTGCCACCGCCATTTTTCCATCAAGGACACTGGAAACCAACTCAAACCTGAAATATGGGTACAAAACCCTGATTAAAATCCAGTCCATTCCCAGTGACCAGATAATTCTGTTAAGCTAAACTCCACAGGACTCTCTCCAGACTCCATGGGCTAGCATAGAACAGTCAGACAACTGGGTGCTTACTATGCTTCCCATGTTCCACTCTTGTACTTATTTTAATAACTTCTAGGCCAATGTTTCTCAGCCTAGGCAAGTTTAAGGTAAGTGGACTTCAACTCACAGTTTCCCAGCTCCCCAGTTTTGGGCATCAAAGTCCACCCATCTTAAAGTCGCCATAGTTGAGAAACACTGTTTTAGGCTATTTTTACCCCTAAAGAGCCCCAGAACACTTTACAAAAGTTCAATAAAACTATATGAAACAATACCACCTCAAAATTCAATGCATTTTGAAGCAAGTGATTAGAAAAGACAGTTCCTTTGCCATCCCCACTTCTCCCCATTTCCCCTGGGATAAATCGCAAATCCTTAAGATAGGTCACTGATAAATCTCTAAGCATCAGAAATGTAAACTGAGATAAGGAAGATCTGGAGATAGACCTCCATTTAGTTGAATAACTTGATGCATATAAATTTGTTCACATACATATATAGGGAAATGGGTGAGCTTAAGGGGTATTTTCTTGCACAGATGTAGCATTTTAGGTGAATTTCATTATGTCATATTTTGTTTTAAAAAGTATATTGAATTAAAATAAGATTATTTGAAAAGTAAGGAGATTATTAGAAAGATGATTGATTATCAGAATAATTAGTATGCATATTTTATTTTTCATAAAATTAATAATAATAAATAACAACATTTTTATCCCTGGGGGGAGCTCTAGCCACATATTTCTGCAGTTGTTTTTCAACTGTCACATCGTCCAGGCTGATCACTTAAAAATTATCATCAATTTTCCATTTTAGTTTTCTCTGTCTATATTCCAAATGAAAGCAGGGCTAATACTAAATCCATTTAGGCAATTTCCCCATAGCTGTTTTACTACACTAATCCAAAACAGAGATAATGTCTTTTCTAGCAAAGCTCAACTTCTGGTGACTAAACTATTTAAATAGATTCCTGTGGTTTCATATCAACAGTACAAAAATGGCTTGCCAGTACCATTTTATGGAATGTTTTTCAATTTCCCAGTCTCATGACAATCCTGGTATTCTGTGAAGGTGTCCTTTCCAGGTATTACTAATGGCCATTCCTACTTCACTTGAGTGTCCAGAAGAGCAATCCACTTGCTGCACCAGCTAAACAAAACAGAAGGTAACACTTCTGGGAAGAAATAATTTTCACCCCCTTCAATCCTTACCTCAACCATCCCCATACACTAGTTTGTAAATTATTCTCTAATGTGAGTCCACTAAGCAGCCCTTGAAGAATCGTAACATTTAAATATTAACAAAGTTAGCCACAATACAATTGTTGCTAGAAGACTCCAGAACTTAAGGCAAGGCTTTCTTCCATCGTACCTCAAAATGCTAGGGATCAAAAATGCAACCTTCTGAATGCAAAACATACACTTTACCATCACTCTACAGACTATCCCCGTGGATGCAATAATTAAGCATGGGCCAGTTAGCTTTCTGATTTTCTTATGTTCTTTCCCTTCTTTGATCTCTTCTTCCTGCAATAATAACCCTTTTCATGAGTTAGATTTACATATTTGCCTTTCATACTACTTACCTTATGATGACAAACATAACCAGAGAGTTGCCCACCAGGCCCACCACAAAGACCATAGAGTATACTGCTGTGATGATGATCGGAATAGCTGGGGAGATATTGGTCTGATTCTGCTGCAAGTCCTCATATCCACCATTACTGCTGTTGCCATATTCTTCCCAGCCTGCAAGCCAGCTGTGGCTGGTCCTGCTTGGAAAAGGGCAAAAGCCTGGGGGGCAGGTGGGACCCAGCTCTTCACGAAATATGTACACTGGTGATTCCATGGGGAAATTCTCCTTCCAGCCCTATTGGAAAAGATAAGGCGAAAAGAGAGGGAAAGGAATAGATAAATACCTGGAAAGAAGAGAAGAGAAGAGAAGAGAAGAGAAGAGAAGAGAAGAGAAGAGAAGAGAAGAGAAGAGAAGAGAAGAGAAGAGAAGAGAAGAGCAGGGAAGGGAAGGGAAGGGAAGGGAAAGGAAGAGAAGAGAAGAGAAGAGAAGAGAAGAGAAGAGAAGAGAAGAAAAGAGGGAAGGGAAGGGAAGGGAAGGGAAGAGAAGAGAAGAGAAGAGAAGAGAAGAGAAGAGAAGAGAAGAGAAGAGAAGAGAAGAGAATTCCCCCCAACCTCCCCCACTAAAATTACATTCCTGTAGCCCTGACATCTTTAGAGTGGCAGGAGGCATTCAAGTAATCATCATCGTCGTTGTCTTATGAATATCAGCATTTAATAAAATAATTGCTTAGTTGACAAATTAAAAGTATTTTATCTTTTTTTTTAATCTAATCCACTGGAAATTAATGGGGCAAAATAGGATTAATCCCAGCTCTGTTAGATACTGGGTATAAGAGCCAACAATAACACATAAAAAGGTTGGGCTTTTAGAGACTTTTAAAATATGAGGTAGCTCCAAAAGCTTGATAAGTTCTTGAAGATGAAAAAGCTGAGTTGTTCTTATCAAAGAAGAAGGCATTCTATCCTCTTGAAAAATTAAAAAGGTGGAGAAATAGAATAAGTTGCAGCATTACCTTAAGTGTAGGAAAACTGCGAGGGTTTCCCAGCAGATATGCTCATAAGTTGAAAAGCCTCCTTGCCCTATTCCTCTGCACTCTGGGCATTGGAGTATTTTTGCACCATGAAAGGTTTGCACTTCTGGGGATGCAGAAGAGATGGGATATCAAGCTGGATCGCAAGCTTTCACTCCAAAGCTGCAGTAGCTGTAACTGCAGCGGGCTGCACTTTCCCTTTCTACTAAACCGTCTCTAATACACTCCCTGTCTCCCCTCGCACTCTGCAAGCTCCGTATTCTAGCAGTCCTTGCACACATTCTCTTCCATGCTCACATGACTACTTCCTAAACACCAAAAGGCAGACAAAGTATTAAGCAAGGGGTGAGACAGCCAATCTTTTTACAGCTCCTGCAAGATTTCCCTCCCCCCTCCCACCCTTCACATTGCTTTCTTGCTCTGTATCTTAATCATTTCCCAGTGCTTTAGAATTTCAAACCATTGAATCCCTCTCCCCATGATGGTTAATTAGCTTAGGGTTAAGGCTACGAGAGGCAATGATAAACAGACATCTCAGATAAAGCATATCTGATTGCTCATGACACATATTTAAGCATTCAAGACTGCTCCCTAATTTGTTGGCATTTCACAACACATGTGCGTGCACACACACACACACACACACACACACACACCTTTGTTCAGTCCATGTTAAGAAAGGAAGACAAAATCATCTTTCACCCCAAATATCTCAGAATGGATGGGACAGATTAATGTTCATCTTTGTTTGAAATGTACATTCAATAATATTTTCTCATTTCCCCTTTTTGTTATAAGTTTTAGTGTTATAGTGAGCATACTTTGGTAACTATTTACTGTTTAAAGAAATAGCATGGTGTTTAGAGAATTTGCAAAAGTGAAAATTCTGGAGCCAGGAAAGGCTTAGTCAAGTTGATTCTGAGCCACAAAAGCCACAAAAAAGAGAAAATTTTCCAGTTTGCAAAAGTATAATCCCATCTGAAAGTCAGTCTATACTAGTGTTTCTAAAGCCTGGCCATTTTAAAATGTATAAACTTCAACACCCCAGATATTGGCTGGGGAATTCTGGGAATCGAAGTCAAGATATCTTAAAGTTGCTAAGCTTGAGAAACACTGGTCTAAATTGATCAGAGCCAACATAGTTTTAGCATAGAAGATTCAGTATCCCTTATGGCAGGGGTGTCAAAGTGGCAGCCTGCAGGCCAGATGCGTCACTCACAGGCCACGCCTACCCCAGCTCTGCAAAGGCAAAAAACATTGTGATACGTCATGATACGTCACGTGACGCGATCGTATTTGACACCTGTGTCTTATGGGTTCAACCCTGATCCCAGAACCTCTGCCTTCAGCCCTTCTATTTGCAGAAACAGAGGTGATATTGGGTTCATGTTTAAAATCTATATCAGAAAAACAAGTTTGTTTGGTATCCCAAAGATTCTTTTTTGTTCAGTCCTACTAGAACCCACTAAAAACTATCTTGCCTGTGAGGTATTGGTACACTACCTCATTGAGAAAACTTCTCACCCAGTTTTGCCTTTCTAGTTCTGGACCATCTAAATAGTTTTCTTTTTTCAATTGATTCAGCCCACTGACTTGAAATTCAAAACAATGATACCATTTTAAAATGTGTTTATTTTATTTTTAAGTATATATATTTCTATATTTTCCTCATCTGTCTTTTCTATGGCATATATGGTATTCTATTTCTAGAATGCACTGTCAAACTAATTAGTAGGTTTCAGAGATGAGAAGACAATCTAATTACCTGCCTGTCTATCTTGCTTTAACCATTTCTGCTGATTCACACCACTGGAAAACCCCAATAGTATTCTGACAGCACCCACGAGTGGCCTTGTTCTGTTCAGTTTCAGTTCTCCTGGCCCCACCATTGATATCTTTTCTTGCTCCTTCCCAGATTATGTGTATCAAGATCATTTGTATGCTACCTAGTAGGTAAGTATAATATATATTCTCCCCTTGTAGACATGAATAATGTGTTTTTCCTTTTTGTTTGACGGGATTCAAAGTAATTCATAAATCTGCAGTTAAAGGATATCCAGCATTTGTTAAAAGGTGCTTTACAATATTGAGTGCAACATTTCAGAACAGGAGGATTATGAGGATGGAAGAAATCAAAATTACCTTCAGAAGAAGAATTTCAGGTGCCATAATATTATGGTGGCAGACTCTACACAACTATCCCAAGTATACTTTCTGT